TATTATTATATATACTATATACTATATATTATATATTATTATATATATATATACTATATATATATATATATATATATATCGGTGTTGAGGACCTACCTGGCAACCTCCGGTACCACCCATCTTTCTGTGGGACTTGGAGTTTCCGTGCGTTGCCGGTTGACGGTTCATTCCATGCCGTTTGATACCTCCCTGAAAGCCTTTGCCCTTCCTATAACGAGATGAAATGATTCAAATAGACATGACATACACAGAGAGTGAGAATGGTAGACGTTTCTTGCTGACAAAGCCAGAGTTCACATTTCAGGATGGATGATGGACATGCATGTTGGAGGGCAGATGGGATGGGGTTAAATGCAGTAGCTTGTATGAGCTTGTATACTCATTACTCTCTCCAAGCAAGCCTGGAATAATAAAACTAATTTACAAACCCTAAAACAAATATGAGGCGTGTATACTATATACTCTTTAAATTCCCAAACAGTAGACGACATGTACAAGCAGCATGAACCTACATTATATACAAGCAGCATGAACCTACATTACATACAAGCAGCATGAACCTACATTACATACAAGCAGCATGAACCTACATTACATAAAAGCAGCATGAACCGACATTACATACAAGCAGCATGAATTTACATTACATACAAGCAGCATGAACCTACATTACATACAAGCAGCATGAACCTACATTACATGTTCGGGCGGTCGAGTAAATGAGGAATCCACCTTAGACTGGGACTCGCAGACAATTCACTAGTGTATATAATAATCGCACAGGAAATATATACACACAGAGAGAAGTGACTACATATGCGAGCATGTTGTGCATACACATAATTTCATATGTAGGTGTTACAAGATATGAATGTAGACGCCCATACCGTGTCAGGCGTGGCAGACAATCGAACTGATGTAAACAACCGAGATATGCCTACATATACATAAATACACAGACATATACATACATACACACAGACACGTAAATAAACAGACACAGAGACATACATGCATACACACAGACATGTAAATAAACAGACACAGACACATATATACATACACACATACATGCACACAGACACATACATACATACACACAGACAAATACATGCATACACACAGACTCGTACATACACACATACAAGAGCTACCAATGAAGCAGAAATGAAGACACGTACATACGTATACGTAAACCACTTACGATGTAGCGCAGACGTCTACGAACTGGCCTGGTACGAAATGGGCGGCAGTGATGGGAGTGCCCACAGGGAGAGTGGCATCGGGTGTGATGCGAAAGTCCAGCAGTTTCTTCTTCAGGGTCACCCCATTACCTGCGTGCTGCGTGGGTATCAGATATCAATAGTGAACGGGTTAGTTAGGGCAGCCGAGGGTGTGGGGTGTGCCATTTGGGGGGGGGGGGGAGGGGAGATTAATCAGTGGCAAGTGTATGTATGTGTCTGGGGTGAATATTGTATTGTATAGCTATCGGCTGTGGAATACTGCGCAACTGAGTCAAAGCATGACCAATTAACTGGACAAAACTAATGTTTGGGCGTATCGTTAGATTAACTTCAATAAAAGATCAAACTACACATGCCATACGTGACATCGGTAATAGGTGAGTACAGGAGGTGGACTCGAGGCCTAAGCCAGATACACAAAGGGCCGTGTGCTGCGCTATTGGGTGTAAGGTAGTTGTATGCGTGTCTGAATTCATACTGAGCTTATAGGGAAGGCAGAAGGACACCTCGCATGGTGCTATTGCAGTGAGGCAAAAAATGATTTTGAGACGTGTCCCATTTTAAAGATGCGTGGACCGAATTTGAACAGGTGTGCACCTAATTCCAAATCTCGGTGGACCGGATTCGAATGCGACCCCATGTTTATCAGTGTATCAAACTCTGGTGACGGATTTGCCCCGGGCACCCTGGACGGCTCGTTCTGGGTGCACTCATAGAGACCCCACCACAACCATGAACGGCCATATTTCCTTACAAACAGGACGCATGCGCTCACCCAAAGTTGCGCTTAAGATATAGTACCGTCTATATAACCGCTTTTTGACGGTATAACTTCTCTCGAACCGACACATGTCTCTCTAAATCACTAACCGAGCAGAGGCCATACCTTGTAATGGCCTATCTGTGGCATGGACACTTTGTGGATTTTCTTCACTTCCCTGGCTCCAATTTGCAGCGCTGCGTTCCCTTCTTTCTCTATAGTTTTGGTCTGGCAGACCTAAAAAGCCACAATAAAAAAAATGAAAAAAAATAAAACCCACCCAATTAGCACATCTTTTCAGGATATACTCCCAAATAACAATGTTTGTGAGTGGTTTGCAGGTGCGTGTTGGTTCCTGAGTGTACAACTGCCAAAAGTGTGCTTTGGGGTGCTGTTGCAAACCAGGTTTACCAGCGAACATATACACAAGGATAGTGCGCATTAACATTCATATAATAAAAAACATTAATTGAGAATTGCACATGGACGTAAACACATAACGTACTCATCCTTAATTGGAATAGATGGCTACTACACGCGCTATGTATTCTTAGGTTTGACACCAACTAGGTTCAGCGTATAGCAAGGGCGAAAGCAGATACTACACTTACCCGTTAATACAATTGGAATGAGTATTCATAACCATGTATCCATATATCCATATATTCATATATACATATATACACACACACACATATATATATATATATAGATACATACATATATATATATATAAATA